CATGCATGGATGGGCAAAAGTAGATTTACAGTTGTGCATGCTCACAACTGTGAACCTGCTGTTGCCAAACTCTATTTTCAAAACATAACATGAGCCTTCTTGGAGTTTGAAGTATTTTTAATAAGATGTCATCCTTCTTATCTTATTAATATACCTTTAGGCTAAAAAATGAAGAAACTAAAATATGGAATTATGTGATTTTTCCCCCCACACAGACCTATTTTAGATAGAAACGGATAATAGGTAGATGGATACCAATTATATGCTTACATCACTATGAACACCTTATAGAGATATTTTACACTCTGATTCTGGTATTTTTCATGCATTCATGCTGCCCTGTACTAAGCATGCTGCTCTAAGCAGGAATTCAGGGGAGAGTGAAAGCAGACATGTTCTATGTTCTCATAGTACTTAGAATTCAGGTACTCATTTAAAACTGACACAGATAAAAATAAAAGGCTTTGTGCTCCTGTAAACTAATTTGTGATCTTAGAAACTAAATTACCTTCCTGAGTTCTCATTTTCTTCTCTAAATAATCAAGAAAATAATATCTATTTCATAGGGTTTTCTTTTATATTAAAAACCATAACAGAAGCAGTGAGAAAAACAGAGAAATATGAGAACCATTTTATCAGAGATAGAGCTAAAACTAAATTTTGTGGCAAAGGATCAGGGGAAAAAAGGAGCTAAAGAAGATTGAGATATTGAGTTGAGATAATGGAAAAAATATATAATTGGGGAATTCTTAAAAACAAATTTTGGGGATGAATGGGCAGCAAGATAACCTTAGAAAAGTCTTTTGAGATCTCTCAAAGTGCAATCAGGTCATTGAAAATAACAGAAGTTTGCAAATATGGATCAAGAAACTGGACAAAAGAATGGATGTTAGAGTCATTCTTTCAGAAGTGATAGTTAAGCCCCAATATGGGGTCCCCAAGAAAGAGTACAAACTGAAAAAGACTGAGGTCCAGACAAACCTTGGCCTTAAATGAAAATGAAATACTACTACTTTCTTAAAACTGGTAGGAGTAGATGATGAATCACTACCTTGTACCTGGGTAACCACCTAGGCTGAGGTGGGAGGGGAGGAGGTTCTGGATGACAGTGAAGCTGTGAATGCAGACACAGCTGCCTTATGGAGTATTTTAGCAGAAAAGTAGGAACAAGTAAAATAATTATTGGCCCAGGTAAAGTTGAAAATAGCAACTTGTCAGCCAAGAAACTGAAAATGATCTGCCATTTTATTCTACAACACTTGGAAATGAAGGGAATTAAAAGTTTACCTGAGAGGGGTGTTAGATCAGCAGGAAGGGCTGAAGAGGCATTAAATAGCATCACCATGGAGAAAGTTATTGGAAATAGTGTCATAGAACAATGGTAAATGGAGGGATCATGCAGGGTTGAAGTTATGATGTCAATTAAGGTAGAAGATTAAGGGGACAGAGTATTTCAGAATTTTAAGAGGAACATAGCTAATATAGCTGACTTTGATTGTAAGGAAGTATAATTAAATCAAAGATCTAATTCACAAAATGTGGGAAAGTATGAGAGAGAATCTATATATATAAAAGCCAAGATACCAGAATGATGGATCTACTGGAATGACCAGAACGACCAGTCGATATGACATGAACTGCGGCGGCCTCTCCCCCTGGCTAGCCTGGCTCCTTATCAGCCCCCTGCCCCCAATAAGGGGTGTGGCCATCCAGCCAACCACCTGTGGCCCCCCTAATCATCCCCATCCCCAATCAGCACCCCCATTGGGGGCGGGGCCGGCCGACCTGTGGCCCCGGGGGTGGCTGACCTCCTGCATCCCCTCCACCCACAAGCTCAACCCAATCAGCCCCCATCAGGGCAGGCTGGCTGAACCCCACTTGTGCACGAATTCATGCACCAGGCCTCTAGCACAATATAAAATAATGGTCAGAGAGTGACATATCCAGATATATTAAAGGGGGAACAATTCTAAATAGCAAATTTATTCTATTTGAATATAAAACATTGAGGCTGGAATTAAACCCATGACTTCTACTTTGTCAGCCTAATAAATAAAATGAATATTATTATACTTTGATGAGTCTCACCCTCAGTTTTATCTTGAATCCTATTTCTCTGGGTTCAAATTCTATTTGATATATTTATGAGTCAGTATTTGGAGAAAGCTTAAATAGGAGATGGGTTTTGAATTTAAGTCTAAAATCTTAAATGGAAGCATATTTTATTTTATGTAGAACATGGGGTCTCTACACAAGTAAAGGTTTCCTACCCTCCTTTTCTCCTAATGGAGGGGTGTAAAACTTTTTGTTAACTGCTCATGTTGTTATATGATTTAAAAGGTACATACTGTTCTTCAATCAATAGTTCAGAGTTTGAATGAAAAAGTAAATATAAAAATGTTCTCTGATATTAGTATATAAAGAGGTTCTATTAAATTATAGTTAACAAGAGTCATTTGTAGAGAGACAGGATATTTAATCTCATTAGCAAATATCATCATTTGGCTGCATATGGAATACCTTCATAAGTGGTTTACATCTTGTATGTGAGAGACTTGTGAGTCAATGTTTAAACTATCCTGATTATTAGAGATAAATTAATCTAAAACAAACAACCAAATATATGCAAAACATTTGCCTAAGTGCTTTTTGCCTGTTGGGGAAAAAGGACATTATAGTAAGCTATTAGATGCTGCCATCTGCCATTCTTTTTTTTTTTTTTTTTTGAAAAAATATTTTTATTGATTTCAGAGAGGAAGGGAGAGGGAGAAAAACATCAATGATGAGAAAGAATCAATGATAGGCTGCCTCCCACACAATCCCCCCTCCCCACCCGCCCCCTTCCCCCTCAGCCCCCCCCCCCTGAGGATTGAGCCCTCAACCTGGGCGTGTGCCCTGACTAGAAATCGAACTGTGATCTCCTGATTCATAATTCCATGCTCAACCACTGACCCACACTGACAGGGCCAAAATATACATTTTTTGAATAAGTGCAACCCTCTGGAAATTTTGAAAATGTTGATTAACTTAGCAAATGTAAGCTCATTTAAACTAGATTCTTAAAAATCTTTAGACTCCATATAGGTTTATGTTTATAAGAGCCAGAAAATTGGAATAATATTTTAAAATAATAAAACTCAGATGCCAGCCTTGAAAAAATATAGTGTGGTATTGACAATATAAACACACAGAAAATTAAAGAAGTAAAGGTTTTAGACCTGAAGGAAAAAAACAACACCACTAATGATGTTTGTAGGACTGCTTGACTTTCCCTCTCACATTTTATTTGTTTTTCCTTTGTCCATATTACTTTCTCTCTTGCTCAAAGCCTCTTAGAATACTTTGGAGTTTTAGGGAAAGTGTGTTTGCTGGTTTCGTAAGAGCTGGCCCCAACATCCTTTAAGTTACCGACCACTAGGTCAGTGGTTCTCAACCTTCCTAATGCCGCGACCCTTTAATACAGTTCCTCATGTTGTGGTGACCCCCAACCATAAAATTATTTTCGTTGCTACTTCATAACTGTAATTTTGCTACTGTTATGAATCGTCATGTAAATATCTGATATGCAAGATATATTTAGGCGACCCCTGTGAAAGGGTCGTTCGACCCCCAAAGGGGTCGCGACCCACAGGTTGAGAAGCGATGCTCTAGGTGGTTACTTGCAAGTGCTGTGGACAAGTGTGCAGCCATAGCACCTGTGCATGAAGGGAGAGAATATGTCCTTTCCTCTGAGGAACAAGTGCTGGGAATCCCACAGCTGGCGTCTGAGACACCTGCCACTGGGAGCAAAAGGATACTTTAAAGAAAAGTGAGACTATTATGCTAAGCAAAGTGTGTCATTCAGTAAAAGCTGAAAACCATATCCTTTCACTCAGATGTGGAATATAAAACTGGAACTCATAGGCAGACCACAGTATGGTGGTTACCAGAGGGAAGGGGGTGGAAGGGTAGTAAAGGATAAGGATAAAGGATATATGGTGATGGCAGCTGATTTGACTTTGGGGAGTGGGCACACAATTCAATATACAATTCAAGTATCATCGAAATGTATACTTGAAACCTATGAACCAATGTCACTCCAATAAATTTAATAAAGTATAAGGACATTTAACGTGAAATGTCACGATTCTGAAATGAAGTCCTTTTGTGCATAACTAGGAGCAGGAGGAACATACAACTATGATTAAAATAAAGCTCTTGTTTTGTATCCTGTTATAGGTCTTTATTTTTATTTCAAAAACATATTTCTCTTCCAGTGACCACTACAGGTGAATCTTTTAATGTTTAGAAAAATGTGTGGTTTATAGGTTATTTTCTATCTTTCAATTCATTGAAAATTTATTGAATTTATAGCTGTGGTAAAATATTGTGCTGAGTTCTGAGGGACTGAAAAGACAGAAGAGACCTAATTTGTTACCTCAATGAATATTTAAGTATCCTAAAAGGATTTAAATGGAGTATTTTTCAGACAATATCACAGTTTGTATTCAGAAGCCTGAGTAATATTATTAATATAATTTTAAGTACCTTATCATTACTATTTAAATAACTTCAGATTAATTGGTTTTAGCAGCACCAGTAATTAAATAACATTAACTTGACTATCAAACAATGTATTTCTGTTCAAACAAAATAACATCAACCTTTATAACTTGTAATTAAAGGATTGTTTTCGGTATTAAAAAAACAGACATTGAGCTATGATAGGAAGCAGTAAAATAATAAATGTATATGAGTTTTCTCTTAATTATAATAAATTGTATTATTGACAGAGAAATTGAGTCATCTAATATTTTCTCTCTACTGAATAAAAACGTAATAAAATACTAAATAAAAATGAGTAAATATGTACAAAGTGCACATAAAGTCTATTTGTTTCCACATTTTCATAATAAATATCCCATAAGGCATTACACTTAAAATTAAACTTCAGGAAAGTAAATACAACACAATTGAAGAAAACATCAGGGGTCTGAAAGCAAAAGGAAGTAAAACATTACCTAATAGCAACAACTTTACAGTTCTTGCATCTCGCTCAGCATCTTCCTGAAGCTTTTTCTCCAGTTCTTTTGACCTTTTGGCTGACTCCTTACTCTCTGAACTCATACCGCTTCCCATCACGTCAGATTATTTGCTCAAACTTTTCCAGATGTAGAGCACAACTCTGGTTTGAATGTAGGTTGCAAAAGCAGTTCTCTGCTAAAGTACCCAACAGACCATTCTCTCATGCTCAAAGATTCTACTTTGACTAAGGAGATGCTTTCTGAGCTGTCACCTGATCTAAGGGTGTCACCCGATCAAATTAAATGGCTATTTCTGGTTCATCTTTAAAAATCTGTCCATCTTCCTTAAATAATGGCATATGAATATGTAAAAAGTTGTCAAAATCTACATACTGAAGATAATATGCAATGAGCATTTCAAACAAAATATCTCACCCTAATAGGCCATCTTTATTACTGTGATTTTAAGTTCTGATAACTAAACAAGCTTGCATCTTATCTTTAGATGTTTGAGTCTCCAAATTCTTCATAATTAATTTAATATTACTATCAGAATATTTATATTTAATCATCCAAATTTTTAGTCTCATTATGATTAGATTATGATACAACATTGTTGAGAATCTCAGTATCTGTTGATTAACTAGAAAACAACTTCAAAAGATGAAGTTCTTATAGTTATACATATTATTGTACTGTCACATAGAATTCAACACACAGTGCTCTTAAATTATTGATTTTAGTCTCACAGGATGCATTTCCATAAATTGAGCTTTTACTGCTCCTGAGAAAGTCAATCCATCAACTTTAATTGAGGACCCACTTGGTGTTGACACTGAACTGTGTTCAATTTCGGTAGTGCATTGACTCTTTGGGGCCATTAAACAACAGCTGTTGTTCTGGAAGGACTTTTATTGATTTGGTATAAAGGGAATAAAAAAGCAACGTTCTTTGAAACAGTAGGTAATTTGATTCTTCCTGAAAAAGAAGACTAAATACATCTAAATATGTTCCATGCCTTTCAACTACCATCATAGGTACCATGTACTTCTTGAAGACCTGCAAGCTTGGGGACAGAGATTATGTTGTATAATTTTTTTTGTTTATTTGAAGCATAAAGTTCTTGTTAGGTATTCAATCAATATTTTCCTTAGAAACAGACATGGCTACCTGTGCCAGCAAATTATTCAATGTACATTTTGGGATCTGTGAATGTGCCTAACCAGAAAATGCTAGAATATAGTTAGTCCATCAACGTTCTTCTTGTGGGTCATGTGCAAAGTTTGAACAGGTGGGTTTTTGCATATTCATACAAGAAGGAAATAGGCTGCCAAATCAAATACATATTCCTGCTTTGTTTACTTTTTCACAAAAATATTAAGTTGCAGATACATAAGCATAGTCAAAACTTTCTGAATTTTATCCCTACAAAGCCATGTTATGATAGTACAAAGCTGTGGAAAGATCGGTATGCAAGGATTTGTGTAAATCATGTAGCATTGCTTTTACAATGCAAAGGGCCTGCTCCTGAGGGACATGATTTGCACTGACTAGTTTATTTATACTCACTCATGAACAGAGTTTACTCTGATAGCAACACAGAAGAACACAAATATTGGAATAAATCTCTTTTCGCCTATGTTCTTATATCAAGATTGAATACACATAGTACCCTGAGTACACAAGATTCTTGGATGTTCCATAGCAATTGTGAACTGTCTAGATACTTTCTATAATTTTATTTCAAATAAATATACCCCATAGCTTTTTGATGGGGACTTACCCTGGTTTTGAAAGGGTATGGGTTTTACTAAGTCTTCTAAGAGAGTTACTGGCTAAAACTGACCAACTTTTTCAGGAGTAGAAGTGTATGTTTTCTTCATCATATAAAATTATGAATTTCCACTTTTCGGTGTATCCCAGAATCTCTCATCATTAACATTATGTGATTATGATGTGATTTTTTTCATCAGTGACTAAAAATTCTTGACAAAAATATCAAGATGCGTCTATATTTAGGGGAGGGAGTTTGGGTGAACTAGAGAGGAAAGGAAGGTTCTTTCCTCAGCCCTCTCCCCCTGGGTGCCTGGGACCCAGCTTCACTAGTAAGCTGGAGTTTTTAGTCCATGTTGCTTCACTTAGGATTACAGCTTTCTGGAATTTAGAAAATGAGGAAAGTAAAATAATAAATTCCACAAGAGTGGTGACAACATCTTATTAACTTGGATGTCCTCCAGATTATTTTGCATAGTGCTAGCCATAGGAAATGTTAAAAAAATGATTTCTTGCTAATGAATTGATAGAGACTTAGGGTCTGTTTTTCTTGTGCTATGCTGAGGTGACAGTACAGTTAGGGATTCTTCCCAAGGTTCAATGTCATAATTGGTCTTTTGCACTACCCTAGAAATTTTAGAGTTATTTAAAAAATTCAGTGAAGATGTCCAATGTTAGTCTGAAATAATGTCAATAAATACAATTACAACAGTTAGCCCAACATTTACACTTTTTTATCAGCCTTAAAAATAACACCAGCACATTCCCTTTCTATCTTTAAATCTTGTCCCATAATGAGGAAAATTTGATAGAAGATGACAATAGGAAATTAGATGCTTTTCATTCAGGGAAACATATGGCCATAAATTTTATTTTAGAAGATAAGCAACTATCACAGACACTGTCATGTTAGAGTTCCATATATTAACCAGCTAAAAGAGATAGATTGCCCTGTGTGCATACATGTGCTCACACACACACTTGGATGCACAACCCATGCACACACCCACAGAAAGCAGGAGACATTATGTTGGAACATCGTGATTTTTTTAGAATAATTATTGAAAATGACTTCTAAGAACCTTGTTGGGTTTCCTTTTTAAAATCACAGCATCACCTGATTTGGAATATCTTCTTTTGGTACCAGGCTGTGCAAGAAAGAAAAATGGACTTAAAGTAAAATACAGAGAATGAGCCCTCAGCGCTAAAGGTCACTGAAAACCCACAAGCCTGGTGGCATGAGTAATACATCCTCTTGCTATTTTGGGTCAAGGTCTCTGTGGAACCTTCAGATGAAGACACTAGCTTTTGAAAACGTTGAGTAATCACTATTTTAAATGTATTACTCAATAGCTAGCTTGCAGTTGACATGCAGTTATTTCCCATCTGCTTTTAATATGGAGATTTTAACCTATGCTTTTGCAGATGTCTCTTTTGTTGGTATTACCTGGGCTTCTGCAGTTATCAAACTGGATTTCCCCTGAGCAAATGACATGTGAATACAGAGGCTCAATTTCCTTCTGGAAATTATCAATACAGGCTGCTATCTGTATTTGTTTTTATTTTGTTTTCATATCTTAGAGGAATTGTTTACTTCAAGTATTGGGTCCCTGGGTAGTTTGAGTCCTAGCTGCCTTAGCAATGACTTTTATCCTTGCATATTCCCATGGAATTTGCGGCAAACCCTCTCTCCTTTGCTAATGGTACTCAGATGTGCACTTCTGGGAGCTCTGTGCATGGTATTTCCTCCAGATAGTTCATGTCTTGGGGGACTTCTGAGAGAAGTCTTTTGATCTGGAGGGAATAGGGCAAACAAAACTTGCCGTTTCAAATTAGCACATTCAGATAGTGCAATAAGTTTACAATGCCAATATTAAGCCGCTCTTATGTCTTAAGAGGTGATACAAATGTGTATTTTTATTCATTGTAGTTGAGTATTTCCACCTTACTTATGCCATATACTCTTCTTTATGGATTAGGATGTGATTATATATAATGATTTTTGGAAATAAAAAATGTTATAAGCCTAACTGACAAAGAAGATAAGAGTCAGAATTATTTCCCAAGGGGCCTCTTCTTGTCCCAAACTCTGACTCTTTCAAGACTTTTTATATGTGCCTTTAATACAGCATTTCCACTACATATACCCTGAATCTTATTTCTCAGTAATCTCAGTCCTGATGATTGCAACCACCACCTATTTTGGTTTCATGATTCTGGTCTCTGCCCTACCCCAGTCTAACCTGTATGTGACAGGTTAAATTCTCTAAAGCCCAAGTTTTATTATTATACTTTCCTTATTGGAAAAAAACAACAACAACAACACAAAGAACTCCTTATTTTTTACTGACACCTATCTTAGTCCTGCCGTTATACTCTCATTAATCTAGTTAGTAGAACCCAACAATGCAAATATATTTCCGGGTACTTTTCCTAACACATTCTCTAGTTTAGCTCCACTATTTCCTGTTTCCTAATTAGGTGTCCCAATTTACCTTTCGCTCGTGCTTTTATTTTCTTCACTAAGAATATCTTGTTCTTCCATAGCTGACTTTTCTCATAGTACCCATTCTTTAAGAAAGAACCTAAGTGCCGAAACCGGTTTGGCTCAGTGGATAGAGCATCAGCCTGCGGACTGAAGGGTCCCAGGTTCGGTTCCGGTCAAGGGCATATACCTGGGTTGCGGGCACATCCCAGTAGGAGGTGTGCAGGAGGCAGCTAATCGATGTTTCTCTCTCATCGATGTTTCTAACTCTCTCTCTCCCTTCCTCTCTGTAAAAAATCAATAAAATATATTTTTAAAAAAAAAAGAAAGAAAGAAAGAACCTAAGGTATATGTTCTCCATTGGGCTTCACATCTACTGACACCCATTGGGTGATTCTTTACTTTCCAAGTTCCGAAGAGGAATGCTCTGCCAGTGAATTTGTCCTTCCTCGTTAAATGGTTGGGATACTTTTCAGTAATTGTGCTCTCTGGTTCTTCTCTACTGTGTGCTGGCTCTCACTTGAGAGTACACAGGAGAAAATAGTGTTTCCTGAAATAATTAGTGAATAATGAGTGACCAATGAATAGATGATGTTTGACAGCATTTTGCTCCTCCTTGGAAATACATAATTCTGCCTCCCAAATGATTGCAAGTGTGAAATATTACTTCTAGAACTGCATGAACTCACTTATTCAACAATTGATATATTCAACAATTGTTATGTAGCAGGCATTGAAGATTTATTGGTAAATAAAACAGTCAGATATCTTTTCTCAAATACTTAAATTCTATAGTGTGTGAGTATGTACAGGGTTCACACAGACAATAAACATGATCAATATTTAAAGTTCATAGA